CCGTAAGCCTTGCTCCCCTTCTCCAAGGCTGCAAAGCATGGCGAGAAGTGAAGGCGGGAGGGTGCACGGGGGGCTGGCTGTCTTCCCCAGACTGGCACTCTTCCTCATCTAACTGATAGGATGTGATGGAGCAGACCACGATCTCAGCATCTTCCCATCCACGGTTGGCTGAACAGGTCATCGTGGCCTCTGATTCAGCCACTGCCCTAAGCCATGGTGGGTTGGAGTCACAGTCGGCCGCCTGCATCAAAACCAAACTTTATGACCGCTTAGGTGAGCAAACTTCGCCTCCTGCAATGAAAAGCGAGACCTCCCCCTCTTGACGCCCACACCCTGGCCACTATCTTCCTAATAAAAGGAATTTATGTATACGGGAACAACAGCACAAGATTTGGCTCCTTCTTAACAAACTGGGCAAATCTGGAATGGAAAATAAAGCTCCAGGTGGGGGTTTGAGACTCTCTCAGCACAGCTTCAATTCAGAGCAAAACCCTGTTTGGTTAGGAAATGGGTTTCCACGCTGAGCACCAAAACCGTCTTTCTGCTGCTGTCCTTTGTGGAGCTGGGAGTCCAGGGCAGGCATGCCTTCACCTTCAATTTTTCCATCCTTGAAAGGTCAGGAGAAATTGGGTTGATTTTTTCTGGGACACAAGTCTTGCTTATCTTCATGGCCAAAGAAGGAGCTGTCAACATTCACTTAACGGACCCCCTTCACCGCACATGCCTTGCAGGAATGGGGCCATCTCTGTAGTTGCCACCAGGTGCATCCGAGGGAGGCTGGACATCAACAATCAGCTCTCTTGCAAGAGGCTGATCTTCAGAATGTAGGAAGTCCCAGTCTGTTATCTTGGGCAGTGTTGCTCAACCTTGGCGACTTTAAGATGGGCGGATTTCAATTGAAGTCCACCCATCCTAAAGTCACTAGGGTTGAGAAACACTGATCTTGGGTAATGGTCGTAAAAGGTAAGTCTGTACCTTTATATGTCAAAAAATAAAAACAGATTTCCCCAGAAAAGGACAAAGCAGGAGAAGATGCCCTAAACTGTACAGAGAGTGATATCTGCCCTTGAGGTCTTCTCCAGATGTGGCTTTTAGAGGCTGGTTTCTTCTCTCAGCGGTATCCAGAACTGAGAATCAGAAGTGGCAAATTATCAGCACCAGGACTAACGAAACAGAGAATCTCACTAAAGCAGAGAGGCTTTGTGTTTTTTTTAGAGTGGGTAAAGTCAGCTGCTTTCACATAGAGTGACAAAAGCAGGGGGGAAAAGGAGGGAAAAAAATCCTTGGCATAGTTATGAAGAATTATATGCCTGCACTGAGCTGAACGTTCCTTGCTTTAGAACAGTTTCAGCGCAAAGGGACCTGCCCTCCTATTTACGATGATGTCTGTTTTTCCAGATGAGACAGGAAAGACGAATGACAGCCAGAGAGTTGGTGAGGTCACCCTTATGGTGGCTGGGGCTAAACTTGATTTTAAACTCCCCTTTCTCAGGACGGAGAGCCGGATGTGTAGCCCAGATTAAAACGCCAGGAAATGCCAGGTAGCATCTTCCCCAACTAACGAACGGCATTCAGCTTTGGTGAGCTGCTCAGAATCTCAAATTTGATTAAAAGGCTTCAGCTCACCAATGCTTATGCCTTTTAATCACATTTGAGAGTCTGACTCCGATTTTTGGCTACCATAGGCCAGCACGGCTCTCCTCCTACAATGTCTACAGCTGAGACTTAGAGGGGGTCAACTCACTGTCCTCTGCTTCCATCTTGGCGGCTTCTCACTCCCCCCCCCCTGCCCTTTTTTTCTCACTGCGGGGGGCTGCCTCCTCCCGTCCCTGCGTCGGTGTTTTTT